ATTGTTACTACTAGTAAGGCACTTGTTACTACTAGTAAGGCACTTGTTCCTAGTAGCTTCTTGTTACTACTAGTAAGGCACTTGTTACTACTAGTAAGGCACTTGTTCCTAGTAGCTTCTTGTTACTACTAGTAAGGCACTTGTTACTAGTAGCGATGCACTTGTTCCTAGTAGCTTCTTTTCTCATTCTTTTTCTCTGTGAACTAACTCCTGAAAAGATTGGTCAGTGGCACAGTTGTCTCTGACTAATCAAAAACTTCAAAAGATTTGGGAAAACTGTTATCTCCAACTTTGCTACTTGCGGTCTAAAATTCTCGCAAAGTTTGTCGGTTTTTAAGTGTTTTTTTCATTTGAAAGCACATCGGATTCTCAGGTTGCCACGGGCCTTTTTGCAGTCCGCTACAATACCATTGCTTGGAGACCAGGATTGCGGTCGGTCTACAACGGAATCAGTTCGGTTTCATGGATTTGGCTTTTCTTCGCTTAGGCCGTGTCCTTCTTTGCAGATGAAGCTGCGAAGTGGAAAGCCGCCTTGGGCGATGATGAATTTGAACTTACAATCCCAGGCGCAGTTCTTGCAGCCCGCTACTAGGTAACTTGCTACTCATGGACGCTTCAAGGAAGTTCTCCTCACCTGGGGCGGGAATTTCCTTGAACTCTTCATTTGGTTCTTAGATTCAAACTTAATGGCAAAACCTAGCAATGGCCTCCCTAAGAGCGACCTCCATTCTCGTCCAAAAGCAAACGAATTTGGCCGAATGCGGTTTGGACGAATTTGCTGTCAGAGGTCAGCACGGCAGCACTTGCCCCTGCACGGCAGCACCTACCCAAACGACGCGATCCAAAGCAAGAAGTATTCGAACCCTATAAAAAGTCAAACGTAGCCTTGCAGCTATCGGAAAAAAGAAAGCACGTTTTGTCGAGTTCGCTAGATTCTTCATTTTGGAGCCATCGTTTCTTGAGCCCCACGAAGAGTTGTAGTTGAGAACCAACATCGGGAATCTGGAACACCAGTGCCAAAGTCGACTTGGCCACACCCAGCCCAAAATCAAGGTTCAAGATGTTTTTCATGTTGTTTCGTCTTTGTTTTTTCTACACGTATTGAATCTTTGTTTGGAGAGGCGGTGGCGTCATGAAGTCGAAACCCAAAGACATCACCAACGATCCTCGGCGAAGCCTTCGAAGCTGTCGAGAAAGGAGCAGTCGATGCGGCTGGGGGAAAAGAAAAACCTTTTACTCTTGAGCATCTGGCGCGGCACAAGGCGAAGCTGTCGACGCAGCTGGTGAGACTCTCTTTGTTTTTCCTAAGAGGGATTTGGGCACGAGGATGGAAGTACAAGTAGGGAATGCGCAGAATGCGCACGAGCATTCTGCGAATCGCGAAGCACGAACTCGTGGTGTCGGCGGATTCGCGGTCTTCGGCGTCGGCGTCTTCAGATGCACCTCGGCGTTGGGGTGTGTGACCCGTGTGTGACGGCGTGGCATCACGCGCAGGTGAGAAGGCTGTGACAATCATCCGGATGCATCGTACTCCTAGTAGCGATGCCCTTGTTCCTAGTAGTTCCTAGTAGCTACTTGCTCCTAGTAGCGATGCCAGAACCCCGTAGTAGCTTCTTGTTACTAATAGAAAATTGAATGAATTCAAAAATATGTATGTACTTAATGTGTGTTGTACGACTTTAATGTGTGTCGATCCGGTTCTGGACGTGTTTTGGCCTCAGACCTTTGTGCGTGCGCCGTGCTTGGCCTCGCGGGGACAAGTGAAGTACGTTTTTTGGTAGGGGCTCATTGAATAAGTGTGTTTGTTTGAAACATTCCCGAAGGGATGAAAAATAAAGAAAAGGAGAAACAACAGAAAGTCAAGTACGAGGACGAATTGTTCTCTCCCAAGAATTTGCAAATAATTTGCATGATCTTTTCTGAGAGTTCAAAGAAAGTTGAGAAAGATGAGACAGGAAGATGAATGGTTTGAGGCAACTTTGTTGAGCCTTCGCCACCTTCGCCACCTGCCAGCCTTGCTCAGGATCCTTCAGTTGCCAAGGATGCAGATGTCATCCTGTTCCTTGGAATTTGAGAAAAAGGATAGGAATTAAAAACACTCTTAGTAGCATCCTTGCTCCTAGTAGTACGGCCAGGAGCCCCTAGTAGCGTCCTTGCTCCTAGTAGTACGGCCAGGAGCCCCTAGTAGCGTCCTTGCTCCTAGTAGCACGAAAGACCTTTAAAGGTCGAAACAAATTGCGAAAGTGTTTTGATGAGGCTAGTGGTGCCCTCGTTCGCGCATGGCGAATATTTTGCCCCTTGGAAACTACCACGATGGCTCTCCAATCGACGTACGTTTGGCCTTTTTGATCCAGTTGCCTGTAGTTTGTTCCTACATTTTCCGACTGTGTTCTTACAAAACTCGGTTGTGTTGGGTGATTTTTGTCTCTTTACCGGAAAAAAAACAAACATGTTCTTCTCCTACATGGTGTTTTTCTCTTGCATTTTGTCCGTTTTTAGGAGAAGTTTGCCCCTCACATGAAGCCTGGCACGATCGTGGCCACGATGCCCGCACGCTCGGGCGGCGACATCCTGTTTGCTTCAAAGCTGGGCGACAAGGAGCGACGAAAGCAGCAAGAAAAAAAAATAAGAAAAGAAACAAAAAAATGCTAAGAAGTTCAAACAAGCCATTTGGATTCGACACAATTTGATGGAATTAGGCTTTTCGTGAGACATTCACAGGCGAAGGATATGATATTTTGTGGTTTTGAGACCTTGTGCTGTCCTCAGATGTTCCTTTCAATACTGTTTGTTATTTGTTGTTCTTGTCTTCTAGCGTTTTAACCTAGTAGTTACTAGTGATGGCCTCCACCTAATTAGCAATTGTTCTTGTTTTGTCTTTTGTTTTTCATTGTTTTGTTCGACGTGGAGGCCTTGGGCGTGTCGTTTCACTGAATGGGGGAAGAAAGCCACAGTCTTGGGCACCAAGAACAACATCCTGGCTGCCGAGTCCTCAGATGAACGAAAAGCGGGGAAAACCACAAAATGCGGAAAACACAGAAGAAGCTAAGTTGGAGGCCATCGCTACTAGTAACAAGTGCCTTACTAGTAGTAACAGGTGCATCGCTAGTAGTAACAAGTGCATCGCTACTAACAAGAAAACACAAAAGAAGAGACGTCAAACTTTTTGTGGAAACGCATGTCACGTCTCCACGTGTCTCCACGTGAGACGTTCGACACGACTTCGAGAAATTCGTCACATTGACAAAAGGCAAAAAAGGAACCAAAACAACAACTATAGGTCGTACGAATGGGAGCAAGGCTCGCTACTAGGAGCTAAGGGCATCGCTACTAGGAGCAAGAAGCTACTGGGGGCTCCTGGCCTTACTACTAGGAGCAGGAAGCTACTAGGAGCAAAGGGCATTGCTGCTAGGAGCAAGGACGCTACTAGGGGCTCCTGGCCTCGCTACTAGTAACAAGAAGCTACTAGGGGCTCCTGGTCTTACTACTAAGAACAGGAAGCTACTAGGGGCTCCTGGCCGTACTATTAGGAGCAAGAAGGTACTAGGGGCTCCTGGCCATACTACTAGTAACAAGAAGCTACTAGGAGCAAAGGGCATCGCTGCTAGGAGCAAGAACCTCTACTAGGAGCAAGAAGCTACTAGGGGCTGCTCGCCTTACTACTAGGAGCAAGAAGCTACTAGGGGCCCCTGGCCTTACTAGTAGGATACTAGGGGCTCCTGGCCTTACTACTAGGAGCAGGAAGCTACTAGGAGCAAGAAGCTACTATTCAGCGCGCATTCGTCGAACAGTCGACAGCTGACCTCAGCTGTCAACTGACTCAAGCGACGTCCCGAGGTTCGTTGCTTCAAACGAGTCGTTTCCAAAAAGAACTTTGAAAAGAAGAGAAGAAGAGAAGAAGACTTCTTTTTGCATGCTAAATATTGTTTTTTGGGCCCGCTCCCCCCTCCCTACTTAAATTAAGTAGGCGCTTACTTAATTAAGTAAGGGAGAGGTAGCTAGTAGCTTAAGTAGCTGCTACGTAGGACGCAGGATAGCTCACGCTTCTTCAAGGAAGCACTCGCACTAATGATTTAGTTCCTAGATTTTGGGTGAAACGTAACTGACGTTTATTTACTTAGCCTCCCTACTTTTGCTACCCCTCCCCTGCTCACGCTACCAAGCTACCAAGCCCCCAGATTGTTCCCTCCGTGTGGGCCACACACTTTGTGAGTTTGCACGAGGCAACACTTGGTCAGTGTGTGACGAACGCTCGTGCGTTCTAAGGCCGTCTCACCTATTTCTGCAAGCAGAAAGGCCCTCTCCAAGCTGCAGGTGCAACAGTGCAGAGCAGTGGTGCAGAGATGTTCAGAGCCAAATGCACAGCTAGAGCGGGGTGTTTTCCTTGGCCCAGGGCTTGCTCGGCGTGAATCCCTTGGTGGAAGAGAGCCCCAACAATTTGGGCAACTTGGCGCACATGTTGTGGGACACATCATCTGAGACGATGTTACGATGTGTTACGACTAGCGATGCACTTGTTACTAGTAGCTTCTTGTTACTACCAGTAAGGCACTTGTTACTACCAGCGATGCACTTGTTCCTAATAGCTTCTTGTTTTAAGATGTTTGTTATTATTGTGTGTCAAAAAACGTAATCAAACAGAGAAAAGACTCTCTCGTCCTTTGACTCAGGAATTAGCTTGCGCAATCCGGGGATGTGTATCCATCCAGGTGTGATGTATGGGCACGAAAACTCAGAGATCCACAGACGAATATGAAAGAACAATATTTATATTTACGATATTTATAGTCGTTGCAAGGATGCTACTAGGAGCAAAGGGCATCGCTACTAGTAACAAGTGCCTTTCTAGTTTGTTTTGTTTGTTTTCTCTAGTCGGTGTTCGATTGACGTGCTTTGAGGCGCTGGGGACCTGAGAGCTGGGCTCGGTGGCCCGAAACGGCAGGAAGCGAAACAGAAAAAACTGATAAACATGGCAAAATGCGAAAATGGTAGCAAATAATATAAATTGAAAAAATTGCTTTGCTCTAAAATGGAAGCAAAATGCGATGCAGAACAACGAAAAAGGACTTCGAGCTATCCGTACCCGTCCATTTAGACCAAGGCATTTGTCTTATCCAACTGGGTCAGACGATGATGTCGACACGTGGGAGTGTGGTCGGGAACGGGTCGGTCATTTGTTTGTTTGTTTGTCCAATCGCGGGGAGACGAAAGAAAGGCCCTTGTTACTAGAAGCGATGCATTTGTTACTAGTAGCGTTCTAGTAAGGCACTTGTTACTACTAGCGATGCACTTGTTACTAGAGACGAAGTGAGAAGACCGAGAGAAAGGTTTTGAATATAACACAAAGTCACATGAAAGAAGAGGTTGCAAAGGAGGCGGAAACAAAAGAGCGCTATCAGAGTTCCCGTCCCAAAAAGCACAGTGGAGATTAAAGCACAAGAAAAAGCAACAACGACGGTCTCCCAACCTAAGAGCGATGGCCTCCAGCGTTGCTGAGGACGGTCAACCCAAGGATGAGGCACCTTTGTTCTACCAGGGTGTGGACGACTTCACCGAGAAGGACCTTTGGCAGCGACGCAGCCGACCTTCGGTGTTCAAATCGTTTCTCTTTGTTTTGGGTATCTTGATCGTACTCAAGACGATTCTGCTCCTTTCCTTGTCAGTGTTCCTCCAAAATGCTCTCTGCGGAAGGTCGATACATTTCAGTCCTTTGACTATCTGAAGGTAGATACATACATCCTCCTCAAATCCTTATGTGGATAGGTCGGATAAGTCGGATACATGCATATTTCATATGTTTTTGCATTCCTTTCAATCCGTTCGCTCTGTCTTTCCCTTTTCTTTTCCTCAGCACGACTCGATGCTAGGTCTTGACAGGGATGACAGATGAGGTGCAGGCGATTTGCTGCAAAATGGAGGCGAAAACCCTTTCTTTGAAGTATACTGCAAAGAGGAACGGAACGCCAAAAAGGAAAGGGTGCCGGCAACGTTTGACTCTGTTCTAGGAAGTGGCACCCGGCTTGAACATGAAGGCATCGAGTTGCGACGAGAAATTTGCAGCCGCCTTTTTTCCATTAGCACATTTACATATATATATATATACTGTATATATAAGAATCCTAAGAGCGATGGCCTCTACTAGCAATGGCCTCCAACCTCGTTTGCTCCGCTCTGCTCTCCCCAAAGTTGGTTTCCTCCTAGCTACTGGACACTACTAGTATGGACGCAGGATAGCTCACGCATTGATGATTTAGTTCCTAAGCAAGTTGCACTACACATTATGTCCTAAGCGTTAGCAACTAACTGGTTTTGCCTTGTATTAGTGTTTTGACGTGTGTACTTGAAAACAGGATGCTTGCACATTGAAGCAGTGGTACTTGGATTGCTTCTTATCAGCAGACCGATACTCGCGTCGTTCGTAGCGAGAGAAAGTTCTCGAAGTCGATAGAGCGAAAATGTGCAAAACAGCAAGAAAGGGGCAGAATGAAGAATTTGCGGAGAGAGAAAAGAGAAAAGACACAAAAATGAGAAAAGCAAACATTGCAGCACTGTGACAATTCTGTTCTAAAGATGCATTCTGTTCTCAGCACTGAATTTGAGGCTATGATGGGCAGATGAAAGACACCTCCACATTGAAGGCACTGCCAAGAGTGGGCTGGTTTGGAGTTCAGTTGGATGCTTTTTTAGCCAAATATGAAAAGCGGCATCCAAAATCAAAAGAAGAAATGGTCAAGCCATGACGAAGACTCTGGCAAATGTGTTTCTCATCGCATTTCACGAATGCCAAGCGGCCTCCCAGGCCCCTTTGTGTCTAGAGGGTGCGAAGCGTTGCTGTCCCTTTTTGTTAACAGCCCTAAACCCTAATTCATTAAGTACGGGAGCAAGCTCCTACATACTTAAGCTACACGTGGACGAGTAGGCCGTAGGAAGCTTAAGTAGCTCGTAGGAAGGACTCACTTCTGCAAGGAAGCTCCCCCAGCCAGAGGGCGAGCTGAAGTGCTCGCACTATGCATGTGGTTCTTGGATTTTTAGGTAAACTGGATAGATGTTGTTGACGTCGTTGTTGTTGTTGTCGTTGCTTTGTTGCTTTCATTGTGCCTTCTTTTCTCGCAGTCCTGCATGAACACCAACGCAGCATACGATGGCTTGAAGCATCCTTGCAAGGCGGGGGAGGACGAGAAACAGACCGGTGAAGCTTCTAGGAACAAGTGCCACGCTAGTAGTAACAGGTGCCTTACTAGTAGTACCAAGGTTCGCTATTAGAAACAAGTGCCTTACTAGTAGTAACAATAAGAATTTAATTAGAATTGTAACTACTAGGAAAAATCATCTACTAGGACCTTTTCGCGCGCGCGCGCGCGCGCGGGGGGGGTAGGAAGCTACTAGGAACAAGTGCATCCCTTCTAGTAACAAGTGCCTTGCTAGTAGTAACAAGAAGCTATTAGAAGCAAGTGCCTTACTAGTAGTAACAATAAAAGTTTAATTAGACTTGTAACTACTAGCAAAAGAATCTACTAGGACCTTTTCCCGCGCGGGCGCGCGCGGGGGGGGGGTAGGAAGCTACTAGGACAACTGCATCCCTTCTAGTAACAAGTGCCTTACTAGTAGTAACAAGGTTCACTATTAGAAACAAGTGCCTTACTACTAGTAACAATAAGAATTCAATTAGAAGTGTAACTACTAGGAAAAATAATCTACTAGGACCTTTTGGCGCGCGCGCGCGGGGTGGGGTAGGAAGCCACTAGGAAGAAGTGCATCGCTAATAGTAACAAGTGCCTTACTAGTAGTAACAAGGTTCACTATTAGAAACAAGTGCCTTACTACTAGTAACAATAAGAATTTAATTAGAAGTGTAACTACTAGGAAAAATCATCTACTAGGACCTTTTTGCGCGCGCGGGGTGGGGGGTAGGAAGCTACTAGGAACAAGTGCCACGCTAGTAGTCACAAGTGCCTTACTAGTAGTAAGAAGGTTGGCTATTAGAAACAAGTGCCTTACTACTAGTAGCAAAAAACATTATTAGACTTATAACTACTAGAATTGGATCCATTGAGAGAAACAAGATGCTATTAGGAACAAGTGCATCTCTAGTAGTAACAGGTGCCTTACTAGTAGTAACAAAGAAGCTATTAGAAACAGGTGCCTTACTAGTAGTAACAGTAAGAATTTAATTTGACTTGTAACTACTAGCAAAAAAATCTACTAGGACCTTTTGGCGTGCGCGCGTTCGCGCGGGGGGGGTGTAGGAAGCTACTAGGAAAAAGTGCATCCCTTCTAGTAAGAAGTGCCTTACTAGTAGTAACAAGGTTCGCTATTAGAACAAGTGCGTTACTAGTAGTAACAATAAGAATTTAATTAGAATTGTAACTACTAGCAAAAGAATCTACTAGGACCTTTTCGCGCGCGCGCGCGCCGGGGGGGGGTAGGAAGCTACTAGGAAGAAGTGCATCGCTAGTAGTAACAAGTCCCTTACTACTAGGAACAAGAAGCTATTTGAAACAAGTGCCTTACTAGTAGTAACAATAAGAAATTAATTAGAATTGTAACAACTAGCAAAAGAATCTACTAGGACCTTTTTGGCGCGCGCGCGTGGGGGGGGTAGGAAGCTACTAGGAACAAGTGCATCGCTAGTAGTAACAAGTGCCTTACTAGTAGTAACAAGAAGCTATTAGAAACAAGTGCCTTACTAGTAGTAACAATAAGATTTTAATTGGAAATTTTCTACTATAGCAAAAGAATCTACTAGGACCTTTTCGCGCGCGCGCGCGCGGGGGGGGGGGGG